CTGGCCGACTGGTCTTTTCTCTGTCTCTCTCGTACGGGCTCTTTGGTTCGGCATTCGTGTTAATTAGAAGTACATGGAGCGGGTCTTAACAGAGGCCAACCCAGCCAACAGACATCTAGACCTTCTTGTGGTCTACAAAGTCCTGCAGTATTACGTGCATAAACACCAAGGCGAAAACACACTGGGCTTAGGACTGCCCCGAGGAGAACCCACCCGAAGAGGAGGCAGGCCTATCAACACCCTCCACCGAGGTGGCAAAGCGCGACACCGGCTACAAAAGGCAGTAAAAGAGAAGAAAATCGATCAGCCCAGGGCCAACAAGTTCGGACAGACAGAAAAATTACTTATCGATATTGGTAGTAGACGTTTTGATAATAGAGCTCCAGCCAAATTCTCTTAATTGCCAGCAATAATCCAAACCTGTTCCGGTGAGTCACATCGGGGGCTCGGATTTTCGCCCTGAAAATCTCCCCTTTGCGAATTCGAGACGTACCTATTTTCGTGTCCATAACCTCAGGTTTGTCAAGGTGACAGTTCCAGGCTGATATTTTGAGAAATTGAAGTTGGGCGAAGGGAGTTTGAGTAGTGGACCTTGTATACCCCAAACCCCAGCATCATGTCGTAGGGGACCGGTGTTAATAGGGGGTTTATGTATGGAGGAAATAGGACAGGCAGTGAGGGAAATTTATAGAAGCAAGTGCTGGGTACTAAAATTTGGTTGAACTTCTTTAGCACGGCAGCCATATAGCCCCGTTTTAGAGCGCGTAAATCGAAAAAATAAGCAAAAAAACAACCTTTAATGAATAAGGTGTATTTGAATGAAAAGCAATAGGTGAATTTGTGATAGATCGGGAACCAGTGGGCCTAATGGCTAAAATACATATAGTAATTATCAAATTGTATTCCATCACTCCAGTATTCGAGCACAATTCTGCACCATGTCGCCCATGCCGCACCGATAAAAACCACAAAACGAATGTAGTTTACCGTTATACAATTACTTCTGCAACTTTTATTCATTGCCTATCCTAATTCCCACCCATAAAACGCCTGTTACTAACGGTCCCGTAAGACAGAATGCTGGGGCTTGGAGTATTTGAGGTCCACTAATTAAAGTACTGTTGTCTGTAGTTACTCCCGGGACAATTTTTGATTCTTGCTGTCATTCCAAAGAGTTTGGTCAGCTCTCCATTCCTAAAATCGTTTGATGCCGAAAATCGAGGCTAACTGCCCCCAAAAAACACCATCAAGCGGCAAAGACAGCGAACGAAGAAAAAAACTCAGTCCAAGGCTGACTTGTTAAGGCAGTCATTTAAAATTCCGATTGACTTTCAGTATTAGAGGCTTTGAGCACGGAGAGCCGTTCAAACCGTCAGCAACAGAACAAATCGTTCCCCGTCAGGGAATTCAGTTTATCCGCTAATGAT